GGCTGCCTCCTGCACGCCCCACACTGGGGATTGAGTCCACCACCTGGGCATGTGCCCTGATTGGGAATCGAACCCTGACCTCCTGGTTCATAGGTTGACGCTCAACCACCGAGCCACACCGGCTGGGCTAATTAGTTGTTTTTAAGAGCCATTACCTTTTGCGGGAGCTAGATAACTGAAAACAGTGGTTATATGAGGAGAGACAAAAAAGGGCTAGGATTGGGATGGAGCACCTGAAGACTTCTAGGATAGCTTGTGAAATTCTTTCCTTTTCTTGACCTGGTAATGGCCACGAGGAAATTTGCCTTATAATGATTCACTAAGCTCTGCACTGGTTTTGTGTGGTTTTCCAAATCTATATTTTACTTTAAAACAAAAAAAAATGGTTTATTAAAAAGGAAAAGAAAAAATATCCATGTGGTTTGGCATAGAGGCATTTACTCTTCTTCCAAAATTCCTTCAGACTATGGACTCTCTCTAAATCACTTCAGGCTCCTAGTAAAAACTATTAGTTTATTCTAATCCTACAGACACCAACATCCACACAACCTCAAGCATAAGAATATAAGCTTCTTGGGTCCTAGACCTTGCAATTTGCAAAACTGAATTAATTGCTTTCACATTTCTAAATCTTTCCCTCTCTCCTCTAAGTGAGAAAAAACATGTAGTACCCCAAAAAGGCACTTTTATAAACTGGCTTGCATTTCCTTATTGGCAGAAACTTGCTAGTCCCTTTTTTTAAATGAATTTTCAGTTTCAAAGGAGAAAATCTGTATTGCATTTGGAGTTTTGTTTGGTGGTGGTGGTGGTGTGTGTGTATGTGTGTGGTTTAGTTTGCAAATGTTAGCATTTTAGCTCTCAAGTCCTAAGTTTTACTAAAATGTTTTAAACAGACTGTAGCAGATGAATTATACTCTTTTATTCTTTTGTCTTCCTTCCCATTATTCTTTCATCTTCACTTCTGACTTCATTTCCCATTCACAATGCAAATTGTTGTAGTATGTACCTTGTTTCTTTAAATGGTATCACCCAGCTTCACTGACAAAATAAATTACAATTTCTGATTAGGAGATGAAAATTCACCATCAAAGTTCACACTGCATATTTTGTAAAACTTTCACAGTGCATTTATTTTAGTTATATTAGAAACCACTGTTACTGGTTGAGCTCCTGCTGTTGCACTTTCCACCTGGGAACCAAAGATTACAACAGGAGTAAAACTACAATCAGTTCAGTAGTCCACAGCAAAAGTATACTTAAAAATGAAAAACATTAAAATCACTATTGCCATGTTAGGACTTACTATTATTTAAAGCACCCTTGATAATGCAGCCAATGACCATAGAAAAAATAAGTGTTTCACTGAGCAGATCTTTTTTAAAAAATATATTTTTTTATCATTTATTTCAGAGAGGAAGAGAGAGGAAGAGAGGAATAGAAACATCAATGATGAGAGCGAATCACTGATTGGCTGCCTCCTGCACGCCCCACACTGGGGATCCAGCCCACACACCCCAGGCATGTGCCTTGACCAGGAATCCAACTGTGACCTCCTGGTTCATAGGTCGACGCTCAACCACTGAGCCACCCCAGCCGGGCCAGATCTTGATTTAACATCTGTCTCTATGAGTTTATCAAAGCATACATGGGGACCCAAGAAGGAAGGTCACTGTTTCTTCCACAAGTACAGGAGAAAATGTGAATGTGTCTCAGTGAGTGTCTTTATTTCTGTTGAATCTAAGAAATTCTCAATTCACACTAAATTCCCAAAGTCTTGGTTTCCGTTCACAAAATCTAAAGGTGGTCAAAAGTAACTATGGCCACTAGAAATTCCCAACCTGCAGTCATTTTCCTAATTTAAAACTCCTACTAGCTTCATTGGTAGGTTGGCAAGCTGGAAGGCATTTTTTAAAAATATGTATTTTTTTATTGATTTCAGAGAGGAAGGGAGAGAGAGATAAAAACATCAAGATGAGAGAGAATCCTTGATCGGCTGCCTCCTGTATACCCCCTACTGGGGATTGAACACACAACCCGGGCATATGCTCTTGACGGGAATTGAACCTGGGACCCTTCAGTCCACAGGCCGACACTCTATCCCCTGAAGTTTTAAAAATATGTATTTTTTTATTGATTTCAGAGAGGAAGGGAGAGAGAGATAAAAACATCAAGATAAGAGAGAATCCTTGATCAGCTGCCTCCTGTATACCCCCTATTGGGGATTGAACACACAACCCGGGCATGTGCTCTTGACGGGAATTGAACCTGGGACCCTTCAGTCCACAGGCCGACACTCTATCCACTGAAGGCATTTTTTTTTTTTTTGTCAAAAGACAATGTGATCAATATAGGTTTGTGTGTTATTTATACTGGGTCTGCTCCTTCTTTCTTCCATCCTTACTCCTCCCATCGGGGGAGCTGCAATCTCTCATTTCTTAGGAGAACCCATTCATTTCTGCAAATTAGGAACTGAAACAAATACTAATGTTATAATCATTGCCCACTTCCTACTGCCATTCCTAGCCAGATAAACTGGACCCTAAGATAACTTTGTCATAATTATCCAGATAAATCAGACCAGGTCTATGCCCATCTCCTACCAACAAATCCTGAGTGAAGAATAAGCAACTGTGTGGACTGGTGCGACACACCTGCACTGAGAAGCCCGCAGACATGCACAGCTCTCCTACCTTTCACTCACCTGGTCTATGAGGACTTCACTCTGCATACTGTTATCTGAATAGTTTCTATACAGCCACCTAAGTTAACTCTTACAGTACACATCTAAGAAAAGAACAGTTTTCCTAACTGCTACTTGCTGCTACCAGGCCTAGAGGTGCCCAGCAGCCCCCACCCAGGACCTGTGTATCCCACAGTTCTCAGCTGCAGCCCTGATTTTCCAGTACTTTCTGACCCTCCATAGGATTATGTGGAAGAGTTTTCGGATTTTTCTTTTGATGAATTAACAATTCAATGGTAATTTTTAAAAGGAAAAAAAATAGTGCTTAAACAGGAAAATATTCTGTTTTTGAAGATATAGTTCACTTTTAGGCATGCCAAAAGTTTAAGAAGAAAAAAGAAGCAAGGCATAAAAAGAGAGAATTATCTTAAATTGGCCACTGGTACCTAGATTGTCTAAGCTTTCTTTCTCATCAAAAGAAGACACTTTTAGGTCATTCCCTGAAATCTAACAGATGACACTGCCCATGTGCTTGTAAGCCGGTCTCTATTATTTATTAGTAAGAACATCTTATCAAGGGAAATTACTGAAAGTCTTCTAGAAACAATTCTGAAAAATCATTTTGTTGTTGGAAATGTGAATGTGGAAGTAATTTTCAAAACTAGAATCGCTGGAAATGAAGTAAGTCTTTAACACTTCTGATACCCCTTTACCTAGAGATTTATTAAATCCTAAGAAATAATGTACTTTCAAAACATCCATGTGACAAAGATCACTATTCACACACAATTTTGAGGCACACAAACCAAATGGCAGCTGTTCAACGATTCACCTAAAAGTAAATGCTGATTCAGACAGCTGTTTCTAACACATACAAGATGAAGTTAACAAAACTCACTCCAAATATACCGACTAGTTATTCTCCATATGTTAGCAAGTTTATCAAGCTTGAAAGAAACTTATTGTCTCCGCACAAGAGCTTTCAAATCTATATATAATATTTCACTGGCAGCTACTTTAGGAGAAACGGGTCATAAAAATGTGTTTAATTTTTACTGTCACACTTTCATTCTGCTTACAATTAAATCATAGCTTGAGAAAGGGCTAAAGAATGGGCAAAGCCAAGAAGATAGTTTTTTTTTTTTTTCAGGGATCAGGAGCTTCAAAGCCATCAGGAAATCCCAGCCCAATGACCTTCATTTGCTCATGCACTAACATTTCACAACACCATGCATTTTTCCAATGCACTTTTCTTCTTTGGCAAGACTCATATGCTCAAATGAGGCAACGTCTCATTTACCCTGGAGGTATTCTGATTTTAACTCTGCTCTTCCTGACATACCTTCAAAGTTCCCTCCCTAACAAAGAATGAGGAGATGAAATTGAACAAGACTAGAGGATGCAGTCAAGGTCACCCAAATCCTTCCTGGGCACCAACTCTCTCCTATCTCTTCTGTGTAATAATCTAATTTCAGAATTACAAAGGTAACACATGCTCTGATCACATGAGTACAGTGTCTGCATCAACAATAACTATGACCCTGAGGTCTTCTTCAAGCAAGCTGATCCCTCTCATGGCTGGTTTTCCAGTGATGACTGTAGATGGCCATGCTTCAACATTAGGTGTTTTTCAGTGAGATAAAATCTTATCAAATAAGTGCCAGAAACATGTTTTGCTAATAACTCAAAGCAAGCGCCTTCACACTATGTTCTGCATGGTTCTTTCAGTCCCCTGCACACTGGTGAGAAAAACAATCCTCTAGCCAAATGCGTAAGACTAAGGTAGGCTTAGTTTAGCTCTTTTACTAATATAAACAAGTCATCCATCTTGTCCCCATTTTACATAAACAACAGCCAAGAGATACTTGACCACATTTTATCCACTTGACAGTATGGATTGTGGGTGACCTTCTAGCTCCAAAAACACCAGGGCAGGAATCTGCAGAATCAATGCCACTGCACTCAAGTGCCCCGACTTGATATCCTTTTCAAATGTGTTTCAGTGTTGTGGTGGCTAAAAGCAAATATGGAATAGGAACCCGAAATACGTGTTTTCTTCTTAGAAAAAGATCTAGGGGGCCAGACAGAGGTATTAGGAAGAACCGAGCCATTTCTTAACAGAAGTCGGGTTTCATGCCAGAGTTCCGTGCCTCATTTAGAAACTATTTCTAAAACCAGAGAAACATTCAACTCTAACCAAATGTTAGGTAGTGGCTGCGGGCAAGGTTGTGGGGAGGGAAGACAGCGAGGCCTGAGTACACCCAGGAGATAAGAGTCATGATTTCCTGCAGTTTCACTTCAGTTCAGGTTTTTCTCTTCTGCCTCACACTCTTTTCTGAGTCACCACATCTCTGAAATTCTCTCAAAATGCGTTTCTCCTCCCTCTCGGTGACTTTGGCAACAGTTACAAAACATATTCATGTTCCTCTTTTGCGTCCCCCGTTCTCCGGGGAGGGAAAGGAGCCCTACAACCTGGGCGCACTATGGCATTGTCCCTTCTGCCTCTGATGAAACCGTCCCCCCCGCCCCCCCCCCATGGACCCTCTGAATTTC